AGTAATATTGTCTTGTCATCAAAGCGAAAAAAATAAATGCCGAAAACTGAAAACGTCTTCATATTTTTTCGGTTAGATAAAATTAAGTAATTATTAAGTAATAATTTATAGAAACAAATTTACGTAGGAATATATTTCGCAAATATATATCTACAAGGAACACAGTTTGGGCGTATGAAGAATTCAGTAAATTTTCGTTTAATATTTCAGCAAGTTTGTGTTCTTTTTCAATTTTAGTTTCTTATAAGTTTTTAGATGATTAAGGCTCAGATTTCATTTTATTATTTAAAGAAATCTATGAAACGTTTTTCGTTTTCTTGGTATTAAAAGTTTAGTTTAGCATAATCGGGGACCACCCATTTTTTGACTGTTATTTGAATTATAATCTTGTTTAAAGTATTGTTACAAAATGTACAGGAGCGGTAAGATGGCTTCCCGGCAAAGCGGTTTTAGGGTTGCCCTAAAATGGCAAGATAAGGCAGGGTTGCCACATTTGGCGAGAAATGCCATTTGGACATACCCGGACGAAGAGAACCTTCTGAACGAATTCTACCGGTTTAGCCAGAATTTCATCACACAAGCCGAAGCTATATAACCTTGTGGCCGCTCCATGGTGGCCTCGAGGTGCGAGATAGTATATCGAGTGATCCATCGGGTCGTCGAGGGGACAGCCGGGCGGCGCGTGAGTGAGGCGTGGTTCACCGGGAGGCCTAGTGATCGCGTAGTGATCGTCGGAAGCGGTTGAGCTCCGGGAAGACTGACCCGAAGAGCGGGCCGTGCTCTGGTGCGTCGAGTGCACGCGGTTGTGCGTGAGCTACGAGAACGACAAGCAGAGTCGGAAGCTGTACTCTGGTGCTTTGCGTGAAGTGTTCCACGGATAGCTTGATAACCGAAAGATGTGTAGCTGACGTGTCAGCGGTGTACAATCGCGACTGTAACGCGATTTGGAGTCTCCTGATAATATCGGTCAAAAGTGTGTTTCGATACTTCATCAAGTTGTCGACGTTATCACTCCAAATCCACACACCCCGTCGAACTGAACTAAGAAAATAACTAACACTGGTGTCATAAGAAAAAACGTATAGTATTTTGTTCTATCTACATTATTGCTTTTCAATTAGATTTCCCTTTTTTTTTTTTTTTTTTTTTTTTTTTTTTTTTATAGTCAGATTGGCAAAGGTACGTTACTCCTTTTCCAAATGTTTCGAAGGCTGTAGGGAAATTTCTGTACATCGAGATTCGATTTTTCGGTTTTATATGCTTTTAATGTTAACATTAATGATTATTTTTCGGGTGTGTGATCTCAAATGACAGAGAAGAAAACGTTTTGAAACTATAACGACTTTTATGAAGATTTAATAATTTTTTCCTGAGAGTTCTGGTGGAGTTCAGTAGAAGGAGATAACTTTATTACCTTGTATATATTTCCCCTTTGTATTTTTGTTTTTCGAGTTTGTACTATTACTATGAATTCTTATTTTAATTTTGTTTCGTGATTTGTTAAAACCTCTTAAGCATGGTTGCAACTATTAATATTGTTGAGGAATTGCCTTGCTTTGACTCCAATTTACTTTTAACTTTACATGATTTAAGTTTATTTGACTTCAGTCCTACAGGTATAGCTCAGGAGGGGTATAAAAATTTTGTTTTTAATTTTAAACCTTTTATTATGTTTCTTTTCAACTCTTAATAATTTGAAATCTGCAAATAAATTCGCACTGAAGAAAATTAAAATTGATACCACATACCCCTTAAAATGTCTGCTATGGTTAATTAAAAATAACATGTGAAGTGAATGTTAAACAAATAGTAGTTTTCCGATTTCTTCCTCGAACAGAACTGAAAAATAAGGTAAAGAAAACTGAAGTATAATTTTACTCTCTGATAGAAAACAAACTCTCCTCATTTAAAAATAAAAACAAACCACTTCTTTCTTAAATTGCTTAGGGAAGGGAAAAAAGAAATAGAAAAAACTTTTCTCTTTAAAGCAAACTCAAAATTCCAATTACGAAGAAGAGAAGAAAAGGAAGACAAAACAATGTCAATGAAATTCCTACGATTCATTAAAAAAATAAACAAGCATACATACTGTTTTCTTTTAAAAACAAATTAAATAAGTTCAGATGACAATCATCATTTTCATTTTAATGCAATAAAACACAAATAATTCATTTTAAATCCATTAAATGAAAATGCACTGAAAAGGGGCTTTTCTAATTAAATCTTCGAACTTAATCACTAATCCTCAAACTGAATTTCCACTGTTATCGCATGTGATGTTCTTACTTTGTTCCAAGAACTTGTTATGAGTAATTGTATATTACCAGTAATTTGCAATCCAACTGTAAAGTTACAGAATTTATTATGCGTTTTTAAATAAATTAAAATATAAGAACAGTCTAGTGGACAAGATACTAAAGATATGGTACGCTGGTTGTTCATTCGGAGAGTTTTGAGTCATGTTCCTGGCTACTCAACACAGAACAAACTAGTTGCATGGATGTTTCCTATTCCTCATTAATAATCCTATTTGAGATAGCTTTCTTGAGAAAAGTATCCACGTAAGTTAACTCCTCTGGGGTAGTGCTTAGACTTTTGTATTCATAAAAATACGATTTGTAAACAAACCTAGACTCGACTGTTAAATTCCTGGAATGGTCCCACTTCTATAGGAACACTCAAAATGCGTTATTAAATGATTTTCAGCAAAAGCTATTGCTATATTTTCTCTTCTTAAAGAGTAAAAGTATTTTTGCACCTGAAGAAAAGGGACCTGTATCTGATCGCCTTCGACATCGAGAAATTGAATATCTAAACCAAACTAAGGTAGCTTTCTTGCTAGACATTTATATTTAAAGTTTATTAACTATTTTTTAATTTTATATTCTTTGTGTGCGTGTAACTTACTTCCAAAAGGTATCTTTTTATGTTTTAATATGTTTCGTATTTTTTTTTTCGGAAAATATATTGGAATTTTTAGATCTTTATTCAGATAGACTTTTTAGAAAAACTTCCTGAAGTCAACAGCGAGCGAAAACAATTTTATAACTTTTGAAATAAATTGGTTCCTACCAATGCCTACATTGAACTCAGGAGGTTTATTCTGGGTTCCGTTTTTGGCAAAACGGGCTGATTGAATGGTATTTTCTCCATGCAGACGGTGAGAAATGGTGCAATTTATCTTTGAATTTCTTTTACGAAGGTGTTGCTGTTAATGCAAATAGCCTTTGCATAACTGTCCACAATGAGTTAATTACTAAAGTAAATTCTCTCTAATGAGTTGTAAAGTTTATTTATGATCATACTTGGTATTCGGATGCAGAAGCCTTAAACAGTAATTTACGTTTTGAATACAGAGAAGAGAGAATCATTAGCAAATTTTAATAAGCAACCGAATACCTAAGAATGATTAAAATAGGAAAACAAATACATAAAAATATGAAAGCTGTAGTATTATATTAAAACTGAGTTTACCATTATAGATATAAACTTCTAGTGTAATATTATAGTACATTTTATTAAGTATTAATTACAAAATTAAGAACTCGTCACATAGAACAAAAAATGATGTAATATTTTGCACCGCAAGATATTTTTCTAGCATTCCAAATTTGAATGCCAGAGTTCTTGCTATCAGTCATTTATACGGTTATTTTATTTTCTTATGCAATTGATATTTGAAATGTATTATAAAATATCTCTAATATATTGTAAAGACTTTTGATCATATGTAATCATGCTAATTACGAGAACATTTAAACGCCAGTACTTCAACTGGCGTTTAAATAATAAACTAGCTATTGCTACGTTTAAATTGCTTGAATAAATGGTGCAAAGTTATATCGATTTAAAATGACTTTTTGTATTTTTTATGGTTAATCAATTACGAGAAAGGGCCAATTCGAGGAAAGTATATTTGCATTTATCGTTCAAATTTTGGCACTATTTCAGAACAAATCCTTTCAGTTTTAAACTTATTTTTTGTCAACTTGTTTTATCCAGTGGAAAGTTACATAATTTGGATTCAATATTGTATTGATAGCAATTTCAATTTTTTAATAAATGTAGCTAAAACATATTTGAATTAAAATAACACGCCGAATAAGGATCACCGGAGGAACTAAAGCAACCAAAATCAGCTTAATATCATAAATTTGTAGGACTATTTACGAAAGTTCACGTACAGAATTTTATTTTTGGCTACAAAAATGCAAAAGTTTAATATATATTTATAAAATAGTTTAATATTATCTTACAAAAATACAAAAGTTTTAAACTTTCGATATTAGTCCTGCAAATTTGTGAATTCTTGTTGTTTTAAGTATGTAAAAAATGTATGACATAGTAATTTATAAGAGTATAAATTTTTGGGCATAAAAGCGTACTCACAAAACTAGTTTCACTTAACAAATAAAATAGACGGAAATTAAAGAAACAGAAATACGGCAAAGCCTAAAATAACTCAAATTTAACTAAATTAAAATATTTAATTTAACATTTGCGTAGTATTTCAATAACCATTGCTACAAAGTTTAAAAGAAAATATAAAATTTAACAGCAATAAGAAAATTATTCACAATTTTTGACATACAGCTTCACTAAAATATACAACAAATACAGATCTGCAAGCTCCGAATTTGCTTTAAACCTCACCATATGACTTATATTCACAAGTCAAATTGCAGGTTCATGGTCACCGTTTTAAGTCGACTCATGAAACAAAAGGGAATTCGTAGCGAGTCCTGAAAGGATTTCACGAAAATGACTTTAAAACATGTTTGGAGGATCAAGAACAACAATTTATTAAATGCGATCAGAGAGTACTATTTTGAAAGGGATGTAAAACATATTGACCAATAAACTGAATTCTTGTATATTATGCACTCAATCTCCATATATTTTGATCTTAATAGTATTGTACTACCAACAGATAAATATTTTTATTCAAAAATAATTTTAAAATCCCACTGAAATAATCAAAAAATTATTTTAGAACTAACCTGTATTTTTACATAAAATGGCTTCTTCAAATAATCTGAGCAGAATGTTTTATTTCACTGGAAACGACATAAAACTTTGATATAGTTACTGTGTAATTCTACAGCCACCTCGTAGCATGGAAGTCCGCACCACATCTGAACTTTCAAGTATGCATTTCGAATGTCCATGAACGAGTTTGCTGGGATGGCACACAGCTGTTCCTTAATTATTTGCAGAACAACTTCCATCAGATGACAACGCGCTCACGCTGAGTTTCAACGAACTGATTAGTATCCAAGAAATAATGCTAAACTCAAGCGCTGGTAAATATAAAGATAAAGAAAGAAATGTTGCTAGAAAAAGATATGGTAGGTAGATAATGAAATCGAGATTCAGCTAAGGGGCAGAACAAAAGCCATCGACAATTATTAGAGCTATCACATGTGAGACAGAAAGCGCTGTACATATATAAAATGTATCTCTGCAGATAACCAGCCCAGATACTGAAATTTTGGCCTCAATCTTATCAGGGGCTTCCGGATAAGAATTATGCTAATCTACAGATTCCAGTATTCGTGCTTTTTAAAGGTAAGATAGGCTTTATTGGAAAGGACTTGTTTAAAATTTACATCTGTCCTCTCTGAGTCTACCAAATGAACCATTAAAATACGCATGAAAAAAACTTCGAACAAACATTTTTAAACAATATTCTATAAATTTTGATAAATCTTTAATTATAAGAGCAAATGTCGTGCAAATTTCATATTTAGAACATTCACAGCGGTGCAACGCTTATATATAATTGCATATTATTTATTGCATTTTTATTTGGTTAATCCATCTGAGAGATTTTAGAAGCTGATAAAATCACATAACGCCGTTGCTTCAAAAAAAATTTAAAGCAATATGTCAAGAGCTAAATCTAGAATATTATATCATAAAATCAGTAAGATCCAAGATGAGCAGCAATCGCAAAGAGTTAAAATTTCAAACAGTATGCCCCTTTTATGGCTGATATTTTAAAAGTCTGTGAATGCATTTCAGAGTACTTTAGAATATTACTAAATTTATAACTTAAGAATATTACCAACTATTGCACGACTAAATGTCTATTGAACGTGTATATATAGTTTGTGTTTATTGAACAAAAAATACGAGGGACTTTGAGACGCGATAATTCGTTTCATGGATAACTAACTTTTAATACAAATACATGAAGTTAGAATTTTTAACAGCCTCGCAGAAAAATGTCGATTTGCAAAATATTTTTAGTAACTGAAATAACTGAACAAAATGCTTTTCCTTACATGATCAAATTTATCACACATACTGATGTTATTGAATCACTTATGTAAAAGGGCCCACCAGCGGCCGAGAGGTAACGTCGCTGAACACTGGTAGTTCGGTCCGAGGTTCGAATCCCGCGAACGGGCTGGCTGCATGGGTGTTTTCGTGGTCTTCCCCACGTGTAACGTGTATACGAGCCAGTTTCCCTTAAAAAGTCCTCCACGAAGGCATCCCTCCCTTAAGGCAGATAGCCCTCGAGAGCTTTGCCATAATCTAATAAACCAACAAACCACTTATGTAAAAAACGAGATGGCTATCTGCCTGAAAAATGGGTTGGTTTGGTTTTGTTTGGTTTGGTTATTTTATTATAATACAGCGCAAAAGTGGTACCCTTCCTAAGGGCTTGAATGCCTTCGTGGAGCACGTTCTAAGGGAAACTGATCCGTATTTACTTTGCACACGAAACAAAATCACCAAACACCCATGAAGTTGATCTTTCCGCCAGGAACTGATCGCAGATTAAAACACCGGTGTTCAGTGGCCTTAACTGCTCGACCGCTGTTTTTTGGACACTGGCTTGCGTACATGTTACATAAAAGGAAAACTGTAAGAGCCCATGCAGCCAATCAATTTAAATATACGTTGAACTACACATTTCACAAGTTTCATCCACTTGCCCACTGGTGCACCATCTGAGGTATTTTTAATCAATTTTCCGAGCATCTTGCATCAGTTTTGCTTCAGGCAACTAGGCATCTAAGTTTTCAAATTAAACAATCCAATTAAATAACTTTTATGTTAAGAAAGAAGTCTTAAATCCCCATTTGTAGAACTGTTAAAAGAAAATATTAAAAAAGAAAAAAAAAAGCTTGGTCATTTCCACTTTCTTCGGAGAGGCTTCGAACAGAAATTTAAGTTACGTAAGTTTTTCATAAAGCTATTTTTATTAAAAGTTTAAGATTTGTGCAGTCTAGAAAGGCTGCATTATTTCATTCATGTTTATATTAGATTCATAAGTGTACGACCAGTTGTTCAAGATATATTCAGTTGTCAAGCTTTCTTAAAGCCTATGTACTTATTTTTAAGAGATTCAAATGCTTGATGTAGTTGTATTCGTTCTGCACCAGTACAAAAATGTTGTTAGAGCGGAAATCAGTTCCATAGTTATGAAGGAAAACGAACACAAGCTGCACGTACTGCAGAATTGCAATTGGTACTATCTTATTAATGCCACCATCACTGGCAATATGGTATTTACTCAGCTTAATAAATTTCTTACCTTACTGACATAAGCAATCGAAATTCGGGTTATATAAATTTTAACGCAAGTGAATGCACATACGCGCACAAATGAAGCAGTTCGTATTTTTCAGCGAGATCCAGCCAGGAATCCAATCCTGACCAGAAATGATCGTCAAACAATTTATTTTGAGAGAATGACTTTCAGTCACAGCTTTTCAAAATGAGAATCAGAAGGTAGTGAAGAGGAGATTTTTATCGCCGTAACTCTTATTTCATTCGACAGGAGGCTTTATTTCCGTTCTTTTCCTGGTGAAAAGAAGGGGAACAAAATGATATCAAGTGCGTGACCTCTTCACCTGACACGTAAACTGTATTTGTTCGAGAAAAAGACAGTGTCATCAGATTAAATTTTTAGTATCTTCAATATTTTTGCTATTGTTGTTTCAATGGTAATTGCTATTTGTAGCTACTGAAGTTAGAAAATATAATAAATCGTAAGCAGGTTTATTATTTCTCGATGTACTACAGTTCCGTTTCCTGGTCAAAGCAAACAGAATGTTTAGTAATGCAATATGCTAATTCAGAAATGCATGATAAACACATTTATATAGGTAACACCGGACGTTTTTAGACGAAAAAAACAGAAAAATGGTACATTTGAAATACGTTAATGTTTCATAATACGCGCAATTATACGCTTAAGATACAGCTTTCTGCGCAATTCTTAATTATTTTTTATGAAATAAAACTACTCAGTAGCTGAGCTATAATTCTAAATGCGTCATTTCGTTGATGTCTGAGCTGTGAAAACACTCCATTGTTCGCAAAGTAGAGTGACTCGCAACCTTATTGTAAATGGCAATGATTTCAATTCGGGCGTTTTTTATTGTACATTCCACAGGATCATAGCTGAACTAAACAGTTGCATTCATTCGGCAAAAATAGTGATGCTGTCAGAACACGGCTTACCAAATAAAAAAATGTGATTTAAATATTTGTTTGATGGCAATGAATCCTCGTTTGATTTTGGTTAATTAGATTTATCGAAAGACTCGCTGCATTAGCCCTTATTTTGCTCTGGAGCTCAAAATAATTTCCCAGAGTGTCCTTATTTGTTACGATGTTTATACTGCATTGGATACTCTTACTGAAATACTTCCAAGTATTTTCTTGCAGTAAATGAATAAATATATGCTTCTGTGCGGTCTTGAAGTCGTGATGGATCCGTCAAACGAATGTTCAGAGTGGCTGATTATTCAAAATCATTTGAACTCGTTCGTACCAATGCCCAAGAACACACGAATTTTAAGCCTGTTTCATTCGATTCTTCTTTTCAGACATATGAAGGACGCACTTTGTCTACATTTTGGTGTGTTAGCACAATCACAAGACAGCTATTGCATTGTTGGTCAACCATCTTTTGTCTCCGCGAAGAAATTATCTAAACATACAAAGCAATAACAGGACATGTGGTTTTTGCCTGAATTTTAAGGTAAAGTATTCGGAGCTTTTCTGCAACAACTATCTGAAAATCGTTCTAAGAAGCGCCGTTGCAATAACTCCATTTTTCAGCTAGCGCCACATCTGTCTTTACTATATAGTGCGATTGATACTATATTGTTAATACCACCATCCGTATTAGTTTCATGTAGTACACAGTTTTAATTAGATTTGGAGAAGTTGAAGAAGAAATATTTTCCAATGCAAAATAATAGATGACAGCTCTGTAGAAATACGACGTCTCCCAATCTTTAAACGTAATCGAAAACGAAATTTGTTTGCGAATCACTATTACAATGTACAGAGTAGAGAGAGAATTTAAGAATTTGAAATGCATTTCCTTAAGTATAGCAGAACATAAAAATAAGTGTAATGGAGCTTATAGTATATATTGGTTTAGTTATTATACCACAATTTTACTTGCCTCTTGCACGTGCCTTGAAATCAATCAAAATAAAAAGAAAGTCTACTCGAGACATTTAACAAGCTACACATCCCGGTTAACCAGATTCTAGGAATCATCCTATCCATTATATTCTTCCTGAAGAAATTTCCGATTTGTAGCCGATCGATTAAAAACAAACTCGTGGTCATTCATTGTAACCGGATGCAGGCCAGGAACTGTGGTGCCACTTTCTACAGATTCTGAGGATAAAAGGAAGACAAGATGTCGCCAAAGGTTTCTTCTTTCTAAAAACGTTTTGCCCTCACAGTTGATTGTCTTGGTCACTAGGGGTCAAGAATAGACAAAAAAGGAAACTAATTGCCTTTCGAATTTTAATTTCAAAATTAACCTTACAAACACAGTGCTGTTATGGTATTTGTTAATCCGAATAAAGATATTTCCTAAAAAGAAAGTGCTAGTCATAAAATCTTATCTAAAAAAAAACTGCTGAAACATCTCCACGATTACGTTTGGCATGAAAAAATTTATACCGAAGACAAGATGCGATAGAAAATGCGAAAAAATGTCCAGTACTAATTACGAAAACTCATATTTTTATGTGACTTCAAAATGACTCAATATCCACTCAGTGTCTTTATGAACTTTATGAAGTTTCAAACAGCCTGAATGTGTAGTTTATGAAATTATGCAAATTTAGAAAATTAA